CCCCAAAACCCCAAAACCCCAAGTCTCCTACATTATAAAGAATTTAATGAAATTAAAATAAAATAACAAAGTTCTTATTTATTACAAATCTCTTTAAAATAATCATTTCTTACTATGCTAAAGAATGCTAAAGAAATACTCACATTCAAGAACTCCATCTTCTACAAGGTCAGTACAATGAATAGCATTCCTAATTTTGTCCATTCCAAATTTAGCTCTCAATGAGTTCGGGTTAAGTTCGCGAGCTTAGTCTGGATCATGTGGACCACAGAACTTTCTAAATAACTAAACTGCATTATCTTGCCTTATTTCTAGAGCTATAATAGGACCTCCACTAGAAACATGCTCAATCATTTAAGAGTATTCAGGCATTACTCCCTTATAAATCTCGAAATATTCTTCTGCTGTTTATTTGTCAAGGTAAAACATCTCCATCGCAGATATTTCAAAGCCCTCTCCTAATATCAAATCTAGAATTTTGCCGACTTATCTATTGCTAATTGCATGAGGCTTAATTACACAGCAAGTACAATTATTAAGGACAGCAGTAGTTTTCCTTTAATTGCTAAAGAAAAAGTTTTGTTCTCTCTTGTATTATTCAGGATTTTCTGATCCGTGAATTGCATTCCTCAAGCTATCTTTGCCAAACGTACCTCTTATGCTATTGGGTGATTAATTCTTTGCCATCAGTGAATTACTTGGTCCCATAATTTACTGTAATATAGAGATTGAGTTTTCTCTTACTAGTTCTAAACCTACTGCCATATCAGAGGATATAAAGTTAATCAGATCATTGATGAATGGATTATTTCTTTTATCGGCATACAAATCAAATGCCTCTTGCTAAGAGAGTTTAAGCATTCTTAAGTTAGATATTTTAAAACCACTCTGCTCAATTATCTGAATGATTTTGCCTATATTAGTGTAGGCATCAGGTTTTATCATCGAGAATGTCTTCTCTACATGATGCTGCTGATCAAATGCCTTTCTGGTAAAATCATCTGCATAGTCACTGATTTTGTATTGACGAGAAAATATGGTAACTGTTGAACCTACATACAAATCATCCTCATTAATTTAAGGGTATCTTGTCCTTTTTAAAAATAATCTCTTATTTTTGACATCAAACTAAAATGATACTATTAATAAAGTGAAACAATACAATATCAATGGTCTTATCACTAAGGTAAAGAGCGATGTAGAAATTCTTATTAAGTGAGGCTTACTAGTCATACCAATCTGCTAAAAATACATAACGATCTTCACTTGCCATTATTTTAGTTTTTATTTGTTAAAATTTATTATTTGGATTTAATGTTAAATTTTATTAACTTGGGGTTTTGGGGTTTTGGGGTTTTGGGG